CGTACATTCTTGAGTCCAACACGCAACGGCATTATTATTTTAGTTTTGTTCTGGTATTAGTTTAAGTCCTATTATTTCCTTCCAGAAGATGGGCTGGCATATTATAGTTTGGGATATTTCTCACTGCTTCTTTTAGTAAGGGATTAGTTTTTCTTTCAGCAAATTTGTCTAGCTTTCCTAATCAAATCTTCTATAACATTGTCCTACTGGGCTTTCTTTTTAAAAATTTAATTTTGGTCAAGTACTTGGTTCATATTTAGTTCTGGTTTTAATAATGGTAACAACTGGTAAGTGATCACTTGTCGTGTCCTCCAAATTTCTAAATTGACTGCCAGCTAATTTCTAGGTCACTATTGTTGGGTTAATGGTCATATCTTTGTGTCCTGGAATTTAAATAATGCTTGTCATCGATCCGTCGTTGAAAATAGTTAGCTGGTTACCTTTAATAAAGTCCATCAGATGTGTGCCTCCCGTGCTTTCTATCCTTTCACCCTATTGTGTTTTAGTCAGCGTGCATTCTGTTTATTTTAGATCTGTTTCCTCTATCTTCCCCTTCGAAGTAGTAAACATTATTCATTGTCAGAGACATTTTATCTGCCAAAACAGCATATCTTTCGAGTTGTCAATCTCTCTCAAAACACTAAAGCCAAACACCTACAGGGTACACAACAATGTTGAATGTACAGAACAAGATAATAGCAGTTTGCCTAAAAAGTCGTCGGTACCCTTATCCGAAACAAAGACCACGAGGGCTTTACAAATCACCTCTCACTTCTATCACCTTCCTATAGAAAGTACATGGGTATGAACCCACGTCGCTTTCGTACAGCTAAATTATCTGCAACTTGACATTTCTAATCATAACAACCAGTACAAACCAATCTTAGCTACCAGATGGACCTAATACCTTACCTGCTACCCATGTAACAAGCTACACAGAATACCTCTCTCTGTCTTGTTCGATATAACATAGAAGTACAGCTGCTTTCTAACGAAACACATTGTAACACAGACTATCGGTCACTATGGTCTAAACACAACACATTGCAATATATCGGTCCAACTATCACAAGTTTACTGTCAAAAGACCTGGAAAAAACTCCTCGATTTCTCTCTGTCCGCTAGTTTCGATTCAGTCCTCAGTTCAGCTCATGTTCTTGTTTGACCTGTGGCTTCGAAAGCACACCACTCAGTCGGTCATGAATTCTTACTGTCGTTTGATTGTAGCCGTGACCTCCGGTTCATGTCTCGGTCATCTAAGTACAGACATGAAACATTCACTACTACCATAGGATCTATCCCATACCCACAGCCTAGCTTCCTGGCATCCACCCCCCCCCACCACCACCCTCCTCTGTAATATGTAACTTCCTGACTAAAAGACATACATAGCAATTATCGTCTGTAGTCAAGGATTCAAATCATAGGTATGGGCTGTCACCTACAGTGTAGCCCATCTATAGTCCCAAGGATCAAATCATCCGGTATGGGCTGTCACTTACATTGTACCCATCTATAGTCAACAATCAGCTCACTTTTTAGGACCTGTCATCCAAACATGTCACAGTCGCATGAGAATAACGTATGTACACATTTCCAAGATAGATACACATATCAGGATAACACTTTCCCTAGAAGGTAAAAATGGATGTATGTTAGTATCGTGACACAAATACGCCACCATTTCTACCGCCTTTCTATACATGCAAGTAATAACTGGGAAAACTATTTTGGGTGGACAATCATCCTGTCCGGGACCACACTTAACCTCCACTCACATGAGAGTTTTAAACGCCACTCATACAGTTCATACTTGATACCTTTTATATAGGTAATTGCAAATTTTGTAGTTCTGGCAGACGTAATTGCCCATTCAGGCGATGCCGACTGTTTTTTGGGCATTCATATCACGAAGGAGTCGTTTGTTGTCCGTCTGCAGAAGGGACGCTCTGTGAACTAGAACATAACATTTTAACTTCTATACGCAGACAATCCACCGCCAAACACCACTGTTCCGATGTTGAAGTAAACTGTCTCTGTCGGGGTAAGCTTTCTGCTAAACATAGCATATCGGACGCAGGATGTCTCCTTACTAGCTAGCATTAAAACAGCTTGCAACTGCAGTAACCACTACGGCGTCGGCGACTGATAATATGAAAGGTATTTTGAAATAGGCGGTTTTAAAAAATGGAGATGGGGGGGGGAGAAAAGGGTTTTTGATCCTAGCAAAGGCCTGGTCAAGTTCAGGGTTCCATTCTATGTATTTATAGAGCCATTTTTAGTTGAGTTTAGTGAAGGCTGATATTTCCTGGCTAACAGTAGTAATTCATTTGTTGTAACAATTGAATTAGCCCGAGGCTAAGGATCGTCCTTCTTGGTGGTAGGGTTTTGAAGGTTTTTAGTTAACTTTGATATAATTTTCTGATCAAACATACCTCTAAAAATTGGATTGACCGAAAAATTTAATTTCATCAAAAGCAAATTTCTAACTTTTGAAGTTTATTATTTTAAATTTAAATTGTTGATCTTTGTAAGACAGATTTTAGGTAGTTTTATTCTTGAACAAAATTATTGCTAAAAACCCCACATATCATAAAAATTGTCCNTAAAGTATGTACACATTTCCAAGAATAGATACACATATCAGGATAACACTTCCCTAGAAGGTAAAAATGATGTTAGTATCTGACACAAATACGCCACCATTTCTAACGCTTTCTTATCATGCAAGTAATAACTGGGAAAAATATTTGGGTGGACAATCATCCTGTCCGGGACCCACTTAACTCCACTCACATGAGAGTTAAACGCCACTCAATACAGTTCATACTGATACCTTTATATAGGTAATTGCAAATTTGTAGTTCTGCAGACGTAATGCCAATCAGGCGATGCGACTGTTTTTGGGCATTCCTATCACGAGGAGCGGTTTGTTGTCCGTCTGCAGAAGGGACGCTCTGTGAATTAGACAACATTTTAACTTCTATACGCAGAAAATCACCGCCAAACACCACTGTTCCGATGTTGAGTAACTGTCCTCTGTCGGGGTAAGCTTTCTGCTAACATAGCATATCGGACGCAGGATGTCTCCTACTAGCTGCATTAAACAGCTTGCAACTGCAGTACCACTGGCGTCGCGACTGATAATGAAAGGTATTTTGAAATTAGGCGGTTTAAAAAATGGAGAGGGGGGGGGGGAGAAAAGGTTTTTGATCCTAGCAAAGGCCTGGTCAAGTTCAGGGTTCCATTCTATTGTATTTATAGAGCCCTTTTTAGGTAGTTTAGTGAAGGCTGATATTTCCTGGCTAAAGTTAGGAATTCATTTGTTGTAACAATTGATTAGCCCGAGGCTACGGATCTCCTTCTTGGTGGTAGGGTTTTGAAGGTTTAGAACTGTTGATATAATTTTCTGATCAAAACATACCTCTAAAAATTGTATGACCGAAAAATTTAATTTCATCAAAAGCAATTTCTACTTTTTGAAAGTTTATTAGTTAATTCAAATTGTTTGATCTTTGTGAAGACAGATTTGAGTGTAGTTTTATTCTGTGAACAAAATTATTGCTAAAAACACACATATCATAAATATATGTCGCAACATTAGAATTCTTTTTCAAAAGCAATCTTCTTAACTAAAAAAAAAAAAAAAAAAAGTGGTAAGGGCATTATTTAAAGCAAATATCATATACTGCCATTCGTACAGACCTTGAGTCGCAAACGTGGTAGTGTGCATTGAACTTTCAGTCATTGGTACTTGCCAGTAGCTTTTTTGTCAAGTCTATTTTTTTTTTAAACTTATATTTTTTCCTTTATGGACAGTAAATCGTCGGCATTAGGTATCAGTTCTGCGTCCAAATCAGTATAAGCAATAATCTGTCTGAAGTCGACGCGACAGAATCCACAAGTCTCTTGAAAATCGCTTTATTTTCACCTTGGACACGTTAACAACTAGGACGACTGAACTGTCAACATAATTTCATTTAATATTCTCGAGTTACGGCCATTGTCATTACTTTGTTATTTATTCTCTGTCCAACGTGTCTCTTTATTCCACTGGCAATACATCAACGTGGTTGCTTCGAGATACATTAGTTAAGTGATTCTGTGTTTTCGTACGGTGTTTGTATTTTTTATGTATGAGCTGATAAAGACTCCATAGCCGCAACGTTCACTTTACGTTTGTGAAGCTAGCTTATCTACTTTACGTCCGGGTTTTTTTCGGTATCTTTCCATTGCATAAGTATAATTTTTACATAACTATAATATTTACATAAGAATAATGTGAACATTGTTAGAATGTTAGCATAACTATGTCTCTTCTTCTCCTTCTTTTGTCGTCTCACTGATATCAAGTTGTAGTTCAGTGTTGTGGTTTTCTGTGTTTGTCTTGCTCTTCTCGGGTGACTTGGGTGATAGATTTTTTTTATCATTTTGCAGGTTTAAGTTACACCATTTATCCTTTTTCTTTTCCTCTCGCCTTTCTTCCAGATGTTAAAAGTATCATATGCAGTTTGGTCTGGCTGCATTCACACTAGATGGCTTGAACCCTTTTTATTCTGTGTCTGTAAATATAATCCAGACATGGTCTCGTTCAAACTTTCTGTATAATGCTGGTTTTCATAACCCTTTCTCGTCTTGTATTGTTGGTGACCTTGCAAAGACAGCTCATTTCAAATGTAGTTTTTTTTTCTGTTCAAGTGCCCTATTCATTGTCCATTTTCGGCACTGATAACATAAAGTGTAGATAAAGATGCTACTAAACATTTGCTGTTTTCTGGAAGGGAAACATGTTGGTATCTAAGCAGTGAGGCTAACTAGTAGGTGACAGCATTTGTCTTCAGTTATCTGGCTTCTATCTCTCTATCGACTATCGAGTCTGCCATCCTCCATAAATATGCTTCCTAGATATTTGAATTTTTGTACTTATTTGACTGTAGAACCGTCAACATGAACGTTATGATATTACGTTTCCTGCCTACCTTGACTGTAATGTTTACTATATGACTAACTATCATGTTTGCATATCTATATGTTCACAAAACTATCATGTTTGCATATATGTTTACATAACTATCACGTGTGCATAGCTATCTGTTTACATAACTATCATGTTTGCGTATCTATTTGTTTACATAACTATCATGTTTGCGCAGCTATATGTTTACACAACTATCATGTTTGCATAGCTGTATGTTTACATAAATATCAGGTTTGCCTAGCTATATGTTTACATAACTATCATGTTTGCATAGCTGTATGTTTAGATTGCTATAATATTTACATAGCTGTAACGTTTACATAAACACTAATGTTTGCCTCCCACTGTCTGTGTTGACAGAGTGCCGAGGAGCGAGGGACATGGGCGGGAAAACTGGATTTTATTCTGTCGGCTATCGGGTTTGCTGTAGGCCTGGGAAATGTCTGGAGGTTTCCTTACCTGGCCTACAGACACGGTGGAGGTAGGTCATATCTGTCCTTTCTGGTCTCATATAGGGTAAGTGGCCGGAACGTTGGACTAGTGCTGCATTTAGGTATCAGGTAACAAAACGATAGCTTGGTCCCGCACAATCTGCTGGGGCCTCAACAAGTTAATCGTTTCCTTCACAAATGCGATTTTCTTTTAATATATCTTTAATATAGTTTTTGTTAACACATATTTTAATTTCTGTAATACCACAAGCGTAATTTAATTCAGTGTCTACGTCATAAAATAATACCGCTAATTCATATATGAATATGACAGTGGATGCAGTGCTCTCTAGAGTCCTTACACACCATCTGAAACACTACCTTACACACCATCTATCACACTACCTTACACACCACCTGACACACTACCTTACACACCATCTGTCACATTGCCTCACACACCACCTGACACACTACCTTACACACCACCTGACACACTACCTTACACACCATCTATCACACTACCTTACACACCATCTGTCACATTGCCTTACACACCATCTGTCACATTGCCTTACACACCACCTGACACACTACCTTACACACCACCTGACACACTACCTTACACACCATCTATCACACTACCTTACACACCATCTGTCACATTGCCTTACACACCATCTGTCACATTGCCTTACACACCACCTGACACACTACCTTACACACCACCTGACACACTACCTTACACACCATCTATCACACTACCTTACACACCATCTGTCACATTGCCTTACACACCATCTGTCACATTGCCTTACACACCATCTGTCACATTGCCTTACACACCACCTGTCACATTGCCTTACACACCATCTGTCACATTGCCTTACACACCATCTGTCACATTGCCTTACACACCATCTGTCACATTGCCTTACACACCACCTGACACACTACCTTACACACCACCTGACACACTACCTTACACACCATCTATCACACTACCTTACACACCATCTGTCACATTGCCTTACACACCATCTGTCACATTGCCTTACACACCACCTGACACACTACCTTACACACCACCTGACACACTACCTTACACACCATCTATCACACTACCTTACACACCATCTGTCACATTGCCTTACACACCATCTGTCACATTGCCTTACACACCACCTGACACACTACCTTACACACCACCTGACACACTACCTTACACACCATCTATCACACTACCTTACACACCATCTGTCACATTGCCTTACACACCATCTGTCACATTGCCTTTCACACCATCTGACACACTACCTTACGCACCATCTGTCACACTATCTGACACACCACCTGACACACCACCTTACACACCACCTGACACGATTCGTAAAACTTCAGCTAGAAGCTATTTCTATTCCCTGTACACACGAGTCTCATACAGTGTGTGGGATGAATTCATTTGCAAGTGTTTCACAACGCGTAACCTGTACTGGGACCTTAAAAAGTCTACTGTTGTTGCACCTTTTTACTTACAGATGTAGGATCCTTGTAACTATTATTGGAGTTATTCGACCGACTTTCACTTAAAAGCTGCGAAGCCTAAATAAATAATATGCTATCAGAGAAAAATGTTGAAGCCATCATGAACTTTGTGCAGCCCTAACGCTTTTGCCAGCAGTATGGATTTTTCTTGTAATGATTGGTGTACTACTGTAGGAGGTTATGTCTTAGAAAAAGGAAGGAAATCACACGCAGAAATACCCAAGGGTCGTTTTGAAAAGTAAGTTATCACCACGTCCGGCTGCATATGTTAGTCCTGCCAACTGAATCACGGTACATTTTGGAGAAGTCCCCCTCGAAATTAGGTTACTGGGAGCGTTTCCATGTTGCATTGTGTGACATATTAATATGCTTACAAAGTCCTGTGTTCTAAACGTATACGAATTACAAATCTACAAATGGATATTGTGAAGTGGATATACAGCAATTTTATTTTTAATTTTAATTCACGGAGGACAGTCGTGTTGTGTTGTGTGTGTCAGTGTCACTGTATCTAGTCAGTAGTTCAGATTTTTAGGAATGGCTGTTTATTACTTTTCTACTTTAAATGTAGAAATCTTACTTTTAGGGATAATACAAACAGGTAATTTAAAAGCCATATCTGGAGAATATCGACAGTTGTCAGGTGCAAACTATCTTGTGTTTGAAGAAAACTATTGCTTTCATATTGACTGCACAAATGGTGCAACCACACTGTGGATAAATTGTGTCAAGATATTTCAGAGCTCTAGGTAAGTGGATGAAAATAATATTTAATTTACTAACTAACCTCTCACAGCAAGTCACTCTTTGCCTCTTTACTAATTGTTGACTAACAGTATAATTATATGTTGTAGCAGTACACTAATAATATTAATCCTTAACCATTTGACCTATGCTTCACGAACACTGACTGTAAACTCTTGCGGAAACTTCTGGTAGTTCATCGACTTCTTTTGCATATTTTCAGTTCTGCGGTCTGTTAAATTTTTTAAACTGGCTTTTGCTTTGCTTCGCGAACACTGGCTGTATACTCTTGCGGAAACTTCTGGTAGTTCATCGACTTCTTTTGCATATTTGCAGTTCTACGGTCTTTTAATTTTTGTAAACTGGCTATTGCTTTGCTTCGCGAACACTGGCTGTAAACTCTTGTGGAAACTTCTGGTTGTTCATCTACTTCCTATGCATATTTGTTACCAAAAAACTCGCAACGGTAAGGAATTGATTTCATCCAACAAGATGAAACTGGACAAATTTGTTTGTGCTGTTTGTACCTTGAGGATACATCTTTAGTAGTGCTATAAGTACTGTTAAGAAAACTACTCTGGGTGAAAAAAGTATTGCACATATCAATTTCATACTGATTGTGCTTGTTTACTAATTATTAAATAACAGTATAATTATATGTTGTAGTAGTCTACTAATAAAAATAATAACCATCAATTATTTATATTAATGTTATGTATGATATGTGTATGTTTCATAGCAGTATTTTTATGCGCTCAATTTGATAAAGTACAAATGTCACCCCTCCCCTCCCCTCCCCCCCCCCCCTCCCGCTCCTCTGATGCAACAATACCCTTTCAGAATCAAAGAGTTAGCACTTATATTTCTTTACTTTTGCTGGAACAACTTTTAGTTTTCATCTAAACGTTATTGATGTTTATGTTCATGTTGACTGTAGCAAAAGCATTTTTGTTTGTAAGAGCCTTTATTGTTATTCGGCACACTTATTTACCATAAAAATGACGTATAGTTCTAAAAAAATATGTCGAAAATTAATGAAACTGTAGTTTAATTTGCGTATACATCTCCTCGATAAAAACTGTGGACGCAGAGGGACTCAATTCTTGTACAAGAAGGGAATTCCTGTTTGAGCTGTACGGCCTTATAAACATCTGGAGCTGGCCGTGGTTATCACCATCGGAATAAACCACTAAGCGATAAACACCCGGTGAGTGATGAGTGAGTGGGGGTTTTTTTTTTTTAAGTTTAAAATTTTTTTTTTAATTAAATTAAAAAGTTTCAAAATTTTTGAATTTTTAAAAAATTAACTATTTAAACAAGCTAAACGTATAAACAATTTAAATAGTTTTTAAAATTTAACAGATTTTAAAAACATTCTACAAAAGTAGCACCGGTGAGGATCCTGAAATACTTTAGGTATATTTTTGTACTCAAAATTGTGCCCATCCCGCGCCGTTAGGCTACTCTTTTCGACTCCTAACTGCCAAGTAATATTTTACGCCCAACAATACACACAGGCGCCCGATCTGACTACCCAGATACCAAGGGAAATTAATAGAAGTCCAAGTACAAAAATCCTAGCCCTTCCTGAGGAGTGAACCCGCAACCTCTAGCACTCGAGGCGGACATCATGCTCCGAGACCACGTTAACCCCTTCCTCTACCCTCAAATTGTTTGAAAGTTAACAAAAATAAAAAATCAAAGTTAAAAATCAAAAAAGCAATTGAAAGGGAAGTAGCCAATAATGGGCCCGGTGGAGAAAGACTGACATTGTATCAGAAATATTCGGTAACAAGGACAGAGACAGCGAGAAAGAAAGAGTGAGAGAACGAACTAACGAACAAACTTTTTTTTGAAAGGGTTACAAATTGGGCACGCAGGTCCGTCTGACATTGAGAGAGAAAGTGAGAGAGAGAGGGGGGGGTGGGGGTAGGAGACAGGATGGTCATAGTGAATAACATGTAAAAAGAAAAAAAATAATGTTTTCAATGTCACAATCGTCATGAATCTTGCCCTGGACCTCAACATGAAGTTGATAAGATGACCGCCTGACAGTTAACGGTTTCGTTATTAAAAAGTGTGTACCTTTTTGCGTGTTTTGCTACATTTCGAAAACTACTACTCCTCCCCCTCCAACCCAGCCTCCGATAGGTATCAGATAAAGTCCTGGGGAGTAAAGGCGACCAGCATGATGTTAAGCCGATTACCCGCCGAATGCCGATTGGTCTATAAAATATGAGTCTAGGATTATATGTCCCTATATAGGCCAGTGCTCCTTACTTACGCTTGTGTAGATTGCGACCCACTGAAACAGGTGACACTGTATCACGGTTCATCTGATAGCTCAACACACAATTTAGATGGCGGTTGATTTGTTCAGTCCGATGTCATGGAATTAATGTTTACAGCTAATGTGACCTCCGCTACTGCTTAGAGATTAGAAAATTTGATGTACATTACTGGAGCGTTAATTCTGATAGATAAAGCACTGCAGTAAGACGTATTCCATTTATTACTGAGATGGGTGAGGAAGTCTCTTTACACAAATAGAAAGTCGGAAAAAAAAACGACCAACAATCTGATACCTGTATAACTCAGTCATGCATATTACTTGTTGAGAGATATCCCAAACTCAGATGATTATTGCATTGTATGCCTGCTGTGTCTCCTTGAATATGAAAGAACATGGGGGGGGGGAGCTGGCGAGAGACTGAGGTACTTTCAGAAAGATTGCGATAAGAGCAACGTTATGCAAAGGACCTGTTACATGATGATAATGATGATGATGATGATGATGATGATGATGATGATGATGACCGCATTCAGAAAAGATTCGATAAACTGTTCTTTTTTTAACAGCAACTGCGCATGATTTTATACCTTAAAATAAGCCATTATTAATCTTGAGGTTGTCTTCAAGAGGATCCTCATTTTCAGGGAAATAATTATCAGTTTTCAACTAACGTCTTTAAATGCGTACTTGTGTTAAATATCACTTGCTTATGATGCCTGTGGCGTTAACCCTACAGACTGCATTCCTGGGGTAGGGAAAATTCCTCACTTTCTCGTTACATGATCAGGCAATTATGTTTGGCGGCCCACTAGGGGGTGGCGGCCCATAGGGGCTGGCGGCCCACTAGGGGGTGGAGGCCCACTACTGGGTGGCGGCCCACTAGGGATTGGTGGCCCACTAGGGGGTGGTGGCCCACTAGGGGGTGGTGGCCCACTAGGGGAGGGTGGCCCATTAGGAGTTCGTTGCCCACAAGAGGTTGGTGGCCCACCAGGCGGCCTACTTGGGGGTGGTGGCCAACTAGGGAATGGCGGTTCACTAGGGGGTGGTGGCCCATGGCTTGAAAAACCCTGTTACATGCCACAGGTGTGAGGAGAGCCGGGTACTTTAACTCGACTTTTTGAATGAACACAGCACGCCACAAGTGTTATCGGTTGGTTAATAATTTTCGTTTATTGCAGCCTCGTTTCTCATCCCCTACCTCATCATGTTGTTCATCTCGGGCCTGCCACTGTTCTTTATTGAGTTAGCGATTGGTCAGTTCACGTCTCAAGGACCAATGACTTGCTGGAAAATGGCTCCAATATTTACAGGTGAGAATCATTTTTGGAATGCTTATTTGTCCGTTGTTTTTTTTTTTTTTTTTTTTTTTTTTTTTTTTTTTACTGGAAAATGAGGGTTGGAGGGGGAGGGGGTGTATGCAGAATGGCCAAATGGCACATGATGATGAAGCAGGACTAGGGCTCATATTGCTCAAGGTCTACATACATATGTCTGCGGTCATCACAGAAATAGGTTCTCAGCCGACAAACTGGCCAATGTGGACGGGATCGATGTGTCCTTCCAGTGCGGAGTGCAACTGCCTCATTGAAAAGAAACCAACTGTCTGCACACAAATAAATCACATATGTAAACCGTATGTGCATGAAAAACTCAAGTCCCGATAAAAGTTCAGAAGTGGACGAACAACTAAATCTTTCCGTCCGTGTATAAAGCCGGGATGGGCGAAAAGAACGGGTCAAATAATTTTCTGTAATCTCTTGTCTTGTTTTAGTGGGCAGACCAAATATTCCTGCCTATGTTATTCAGCTTTTACTACTGAAAAAAGTATAAATACTTACATTTTTGTTTCAATGACTTATCATTCAACCACTAACCCACCCCACCCCACCCCCTCCCCCCCCCCCTCCAATGATCGTCTGCTTTCCTTCACTGTTTCCTGCATCTTGTTCTTGTTGCTGTTCTCTTTTTTTTTTTTTTAGTTTATTGGTAATTTCCTGCGTCCTCTTTTCTTTATTTTTTTTCTTTCCTCCCCCTTTTCCGTATTTCACTCCATCCTTATTTTCCTCTCTTCTTCTTTCATTCTTTTTACTCCCTCCTTCTCATTCTTCTCCTATTAGTCTTATTATTATTATTATTATTATTATTATTATTATTATTATTATTATTATTATTATTATTATTATTTTATTATTATCCTTCATGGGGTCATTGTTCCTTCTTCGTTTGTTTTTTCCTTGTCACCCTGCGTGTTTCCTACTTTACTTTCCTCCAAGCTCTTTTTTTTTTACCAGATGTATCCTCAGTGTCAACACACTACCTTACACACTACCTGACACACTACCTGACTCACCACCTGACACACCACCTGACACACCACCTGACACACCACCTGACACACCACCTGACACACTACCTGACACACCACCTGACACACCACCTGACACACTACCTGATACACCACCTGACACACCACCTGACACACCACCTGAAACACCACCTGACACACCACCTGACACACCACCTGACACACCACCTGACACACCACCTGACACACTACCTGACACACCACCTGACACACCACCTGACACACTACCTGATACACCACCTGACACACCACCTGACACACCACCTGAAACACCACCTGACACACCACCTTACACTCCACCTGACACACTACCTGACACACCACCTGACACACCACCTGACACACCACCTGACACACCACCTGACACACCACCTGGCACACCACCTGACACACCACCTGAAACACTACCTGACACACTACCTGACACACCACCTGACACACTACCTGAAACACCCCCCTAACACCACCTTACACACCACCTTACACACTACCTGACACACCACCTGATACACTACATGACACACCTCCTGACACACTACATTACACACTACCTGACATACTACCAAATTAGCTACCAATTCGTGTTGGTTCCTCAAACTGCCAAACAATCTTACTTGCAACACTGCCATTTCCTAAAGCAGTTACAGGTTTATGAAGACTTTACTTCATAGTACTCAGTGTAAGCCTGCAGTCGCTCCTTGACCCTCCAGAAATATCTCCCACACACGACAATGATTGTTCTAGCATTCCCTCATTTCTGTCCTCACTTTAACGATCTGTTATCAGACTGCAATGTGTGGAATCTGAACATTTAGGTGTTTCACGGTTTAGAAAGCAGCGGCAAATGCTAAACTTAAAACTTCCCCCACACAACTAGTCTTCTGATTTTTCTTCAGCATTCCCAGACCTAGGAGTTGCAGATAACACTCGCCTCCACTCATTTCTGATTGGCAATCTTTTTCCAGTTGGTGACTGAAGGTGTCTGTGGGTCTGTTATAATATGATATATTATCTCCCCACTGTCTTCTGCAGCTTTTCTACTCCCATTCAACTCTCTGGTTTATGAAAGTTTTTTCTCTGTTTGCCATTCTCCACACTTGCCCCAAACATTGCAGTCTGACAATAAATGCTGGGGTTTGTATGCACATCCAGGTCAGGTAGTTTGTGTGGACATTTATGTGTGAATTATTGGAGCTGAAGGTCTTGGCCATCAACAGTTTCAACATCACATCTACCGCAGGTATCGGCTATGCCATGGTGCTCATTAGTTTCATCGTCTGCATCTACTACAACATGATCATCGCTTACGCCATCTACTACATGTTTGTTTCCTTCGTCAACCTGGACGACCAACTGCCCTGGGAAGACTGCGGACACTGGTGGAATACCGGAGAGTGTAGGAGGTCTGCCTTTCCCCGGCTCAACGACCCCAAGTACAACTTGACTCAGAAGATGACACTGTTGTGGGGTAGGTACTGTCTTCGTGTATGTGAGCTGGCGCTATTTTGAAATTGGTATAGTCTTCGTGTGCCCAGAGTGGGTACCAGGTGCAGTCCTGGGAAGTAACGGCGGCCGGCATGATGCTGACCACATCACCCATCAAGATTGTATGAGCTCACCTGGGAACACGAGGTCTGGGAGAAAATCTGACTAGGAAGTCATTCTGTGTCAGGACCCCAGTAAGATAGGAGTAAAAGTGGATCCAGAGTGAGACGAAGTGAAAAGGAGTGAAAGTGGATCTAGAGTGAGACGAAGTTGAAAGGAGTGAAAGTGGATCTAGAGTGAGACGAAGTGGAAAGGACTGAAAGTGGATCTAGAATGAGACGAAGTGGAAAGGAGTGAAAGTGGATCCAGAGTGAGACGAAGTGGAAAGGAGTGAAAGTGGATCTAGAGTGAGACGAAGTGGAAAGGAGAGAAAGTGGATCTAGAGTGAGACGAAGTGGAAAGGAGTGAAAGTAGATCCAGAGTGAGACGAAGTGGAAAGGAGTGAAAGTAGATCCAGAGTGAGACGAAGTGGAAAGAAATTAAAGAGGATCTAGAGTGAGACGAAGTGGAAAGGAGTGAAAGTGAATCCAGAGTGAGACGAAGTGGAAAGGAGTGAAAGTGGATCCAGAGTGAGACGAAGTGGAAAGGACTGAAAGTGGATCTAGAGTGAGACTAAGTGGAAAGGAGTGAAAGCGGATCCAGAGTGAGACGAAGTGGAAAGGAGTGAAAGCGGATCCAGAGTGAGACGAAGTGGAAAGGAGTGAAAGTGGATCCAGAGTGAGACGAAGTGGAAAGGGGTGAAAGTGGATCTAGAGTGAGACGAAGTGGAAAGGAGTGAAAGTGGATCTAGAGTGAGACGAAGTGGAAAGGAGTGAAAGTGGATCTAGGGTGAGACGAAGTGGAAAGGGGTGAAAGTGGATCTAGAGTGAGACGAAGTGGAAAGGAGTGAAAGTGGATCTAGAGTGAGACGAAGTGGAAAGGAGTGAAAGTGGATCTAGAGTGAGACGAAGTGGAAAGGAGTGAATATGGATCTAGGGTTAGACGAAGTGGAAAGAAGTGAAAGTGGATCTTGAGTGAGACGAAGTGGAAAGGAGTGAAAGTGGATCCAGAGTGAGACGAAGTGGAAATGAGTGAAAGCTGTGAAGCTGTTGTAGCAAAGCCCCGTTGAAGTATAGCTGAGGACAATGGAAGTGTCCTACTGACTGTTGGCTAAACCAACCGTATGTGTATCGGCGTCGACCGAGTCGTGGCTGTATGCCCAAAAGGTAAGCAAGTGGACCCCGTCTGGATGTCGTAAGTACTTGGATGTAACCTTGAATCTTGTCGTTTATATGGTATTGTAATTAAACATGGAACTGTAGATAACCCTCGTCGACTGTTATTTGGAGACGTGTGGTAGTTTGTCGGAAAGAAGTCTGATTGTCTAATCTGTGAGCCTGACCCCTAGACGACAACCCATGTTGATTGTGTACAAGCGAGGATTAGTACAAAGGAGAGAGACATTACAGTGGCTTTGTATATAATCTATGGGGAAAGGGCCTCAGGACCCTTCAAGACTTGTAAGTTTCAGGTGCCTCTGTTCATGAGCAATGACGATCTTTCGTCCATTTAAATAAATGAATTAATCATTTATGTATTCAATTGCATGTTGGTTTGTTGTTTGGTTTTAAAATAGGTGATCTGTACAGGAAGTCGTGTGTAGCAGACAAACTGAACAGAAGCACTTACCCTGACTACAACCATGGCACCAGTGCCATGTTTAACTCCTTCCAAAATGGCTTCTCTCTACTCTACAACACGACCATAACCTCAGTGGAAGACTTGACCCATTCTCAAGTTCAGGGTTATGGCGAGTTCAAGAGCTGTCAGTTCTCCTACACCACCCCTTCCCAGGAGTATTTTGAGTGAGTTTTTTGGTAAAGTACCCTTTCATGAATTTTGGTTAACACAGTGTCACTTTTTTGGTAAAATACACTTTCATGTATTTTCATTAACACAGTGGCACTTTTTGGGTAAATTACCCTTTCATGTATTTTCATTAACACAGTGACACTTTTTGGGTAAATTACCCTTTCATGTATTTTCATTAACACAGTGACACTTTTTGGGTAAATTACCCTTTCATGTATTTTCATTTACACAGTGACACTTTTGGGTAAATTACCCTTTCATGTATTTTCATTAACACAGTGACACTTTTTGGGTAAATTACCCTTTCATGTATTTTCATTAACACAGTGACACTTTTTGGGTAAATTACCCTTTCATGTATTTTCATTAACACAGTGACACTTTTTGGGTAAATTACCCTTTCATGTATTTTCATTAACACAGTGACACTTTTTTGGGTAAATTACCCTTTCATGTATTTTCATTAACACAGTGACACTTTTTGGGTAAATTACCCTTTCATGTATTTTCATTAACACAGTGACACTTTTTGGGTAAATTACCCTTTCACATATTTTCAGTAACACAGTGTCGGGTTTTCTGTAAAGTACCCTGTCACGTATTTTCATTAACACAGTGTCAGGTTTAAAAAAAAAAAAATACCATTTCATGTATTTTAATTAACACAGTGTCAGGCTTTCGATAAAAATACCCTTTTACATGTTTTCAGTAACACAGTGTCGGGTTTTCAGTAAAGTGCCCTTTCACATGTTTTCACTAACACAGCGTCAGATTTTTGGTCAAGTACCCTTTCACTTATTTTCATTAATAAAGTGTCCGGTTTTAAGTAAAATACCCGTTCACGTGTTTTTATAAACAATGTGTCTGATTTTTGGTAAAATACCCTTTCACATGTTTTCATTAATGCAGTGTCAAGTTTTCTGTAGAATACCCTTTCCCATGTTTTTAGTAATACAGTGTCGATTTTTCAGTAAAATACCTGTTCACGTATTTTCATTAATACAGTTTTAAGTTTTGGATAAAATACCCTTTCACATGTTTTCGGTTATATTTTTTTTAGCAGTACAGTGTCAAGTTGAGCTAAATTACCTTTTCAGACATGAAGGGAGATGTAATAAGTGGATTGTATTTCTACTCGTTGTCTAGGCAGTGTTTATGCGTGTGTGGTGGATGATATTCTCACACGCTCCACGTTACACAACTGGCACAAGCCGACACCGATGTGAGCTTACGAGACATGAATTTATTGACTTTTTGTACAGTATTGACGTATTAAGACTTACGACAAACGAATAGTCTAGTCGGTGTCCTAGTGAACAGCTTTCGTACACAAACTCACGCAGCCTTCAACGAACAGTCTTCTGCAGGCATTCAAGCAACGATGGGTCCCATGGATTCAACATTGATGTTTGGACATCTCACACGCTGGCCTGGTCCATCTCCCGGACGAGCACCCAATTGTAATAAGTGGATTGTATTTCTACTCGTTGTCTAGGCAGTGTTCATGCGTGTGTGGTGGATGATATTCTCACACGCTCCACGTTACACAACTGGCAAAAGCCGACACCGATGTGAGCTTACGAGACATGAATTTATTGACGTATTAAGACTTACGACAAACGAATAGTCTAGTCGGTGTCCTAGTGAACAGCTTTCGTACACAAACTCACGCAGCCTTCAACGAACAGTCTTCTGCAGGCATTCAAGCAACGATGGGTCCCATGGATTCAACATTGATGTTTGGACATCTCACACGCTGGCCTGGTCGATCTCAGCTTAACACTTCGTCGGCAGGTCTCCTTTCTCCTCAGGCATTCACGTAGACATTCGCACATTCAGTCGCTCGTCCTCTCGCTCCAACAGGTCGACACAAACTAAACTTGACCAGAGTCAAGTCTGACTTATACCACGGGTTCGTTTCACGTGACAACACGTGGTGGTCCTTTACTTTTCCCGTGGCGACCTTGGGTCGCATCACCGTGGTCCCCGTGATAACTAGTGGTTAGTCACCTATCTCCAGATTCTCGTTTAATCCAAGTATCTGGACTATCTCGGTGTTTTCGGTCAGCTTTGGGCCTTCCCCCCAACCATCCTAAACTGGGTGAAAATATCCCCCAATACAGAAGAACTGTACATCTGGATCTAGCCACAAACGTTCTCACCAATGATGGATGTGATCAGTTTACACTAGCAGCCCTAACTGTGTGTTTAACTGAGTGGGTGTGTGTGTGTGTGTGTGTTGTGTGTGTGTGTGTATGTGTGCGTGCATTTTACCACACATGCTTTTGTGCTTTTTTTTCTCTCTCTCTCTTTTATATTCATAATATGCGTATTATCATATGAATATAACATGCTTAAAATACAGCTGCAGTGTGAAAGACGGGTGTTTGGAAGGGCCGAATGTAAGACGGGCCTGCGTGCCCAATTTGTGACCCTTTGAAAATAAAGTTCGTTCGTTCGTTCGTTGTTCATCCATCACGAGACGTGATGTAGATCACTTTTTATCCAAAGTAGCAATGATCAATGATAATGAGTAAAGGTGGCTGAGTAATTCAATATGAGCCCGAAAACCAACATTATCACAGTGGACTACAGACAATATGGTCTCTGTCTCAATGTGCCCCAATAAAAATGTGTTACATGGCTAGAGGGTTGAACCAGGGTCCTTGGATTGGTAGCTGTTTGATTCTCTTACTTAAGGTGTTAATGATGCAGACTGCTAATCTGGGGGGACAACGTTGTAAACCAAATGTCTAATGAACATATTAGAGCAGCGGCTAGCACTCGCGCCTGTCAGTCTGTGGTTGTGTGTTCCCATCCCCTTCCCTACCCAGGCTGGACATTTGAAAAGCAATTACCTGGGCTCTCAGATTAGCACAGTCTACAATGGCTATCATGAAATATTCAGGGTAGTAAAGACAGTCAGTGTGAAAGCAAAAGTTCTGGAACATGACCCAAATCCAGAACTAGACGAACAATCAGAACTTTCTGCCGGAGTTTACAGCCCTTGAATGTGAATGAGAAGAACACAGGACTTGTCGAGTGCCGTATGGTCTATTGAAGCATATGCCTAATGAACATTCACTTGTGGAAAGGGTCGTTTACTTCTGAGTCAAAGTTGCCAGGTGCATTTATTGAATGTGTTGCAGACGTTATGTACTACGACAGCATCTTTCAGAGGATATCGGTCACCTAGGAGATATCAGCCTCAAACTGGTGTTGACCCTTCTGCTGGCCTGGTTTCTCATCTTCTGCTGCATCATGAAAGGCATCAAAACTTCCGGCAAGGTCTGTACATTTGTTTTATTAGTGTTTACATTAACTGCAAGTCATCTTTAGGACTTTTCAAGTTTTGTAGTAAAGCGTTGTTGGGAGGAACAGTTTGCAATCTATTGCTTGATGGGGGGGGGGGGGGGGTAATTGCTATTGTCATTCCATATTGATATAGACGCTCTTTAATGTCATCAGTCCTTATCCTCTTAGGGCGGTCTCTTGATTTCACTTCAGATGTTTTCATATGTAGCTACTGAGTTGGAAGTTGTTCTGGCTGCATTCTCACTAGATAACCAATCATTTAATCTTCTGTTTCTCAGTGAATTTGCTGCATGCTGTTTTTCCTAGTCTGTTCGATAATATAATTTATCAACTTTATGTCCGATGGTTAAGTTGGCGGCTTTTCTCAGGCACCTCATTTCACAGGTGGTAATTTTACGTAAGTTAGCTTTCGATAATTTTCAAGTCTGGCACTAGTGGCAAAGTGCTGTTTTCAATCCGCTTCTTGGCAACTTATATTTATGTTTGCATGTCTTAATGGCGGTGTTAGTTGGTATATAAGTGTACTGGCTCGTTGATATCTTGTTTCTGTTTTCCGATCTGTTCTAGTAATGTTGTCATTAGTTGCACATCTTTAGGTGTTTGCCCCCAGCACCAGCATTATTGACTTTTGTGTATTTTTCTTCGGCAGCTAACGTTCGGCAGTTTGTCGTTGTCTTCCAAATGGTATGACGCTCATATGGCTATAAAAATGAACACTAATCAGTCTTCCACTAAAGCAACTGACGCTTACTGCCTACCGGAGACTGGGTTACCTTCTTCTTCTACTATTTTTACTACCACTGTGGCTGCTGTTGCTATTGCTACTACTAGACAATAGAACTAGAAAAGCTCAAGTTCCAAGCCTCACAATTAGGGACAGAAACATGAAAAGAGAAAGCAAACTGAGTAATCTGTGTATCATTTTTCGAAAAAATCATGTCCTACTATAATCGTGTGAAAGCAGTTGCACTAAAACAGTCAACACTACTACTACTTATAATACAACTACTATTACTACTATTACTACTACTACTACAACTACTACTACAACTACTACTGCTGCTGCTGCTACTACTACCACCACCACCACTAATACTACTATTACTATTAATACTGCTACTACTACTATTTTTTCCCTTTTTCGTGCCCATGCCATGCGTTGTTGGTAAGTATGTCTGTACACATCCTTTCTTTAGAGTTTTTTTTTTATCATGGTGCCAAACTGTCCAGCTTCCTCTCTTTTGGTCTCTCTTCTCTGTTAAACTTGCTGTTGTCACGAATGACTCCAGTTTTCCCATCCTCACGATATAAACAAATAATGTTGGTTTGTCTTGTTTATTACGGGTAATCTGTAAAGATAAATAACTGAATAGCTTAGCCACAATGATAAAGGGGAACAAGATCACCGATCTTATCCGTGATTCTGGTGATCGTTTGCTGTGCGTCTATTCTAATGTGGGCCATAAACAGAACAGTGCGCATGAAGTCTTTAAGGAGCCCTGGGGGTTGTCTTGTAGGCTGACTACTGTGGGTCAGGTGTCTTATCTCTGACTGGTCAAGTCAGATTTTTTCTAGAAGACACGTTCTGTAGTATGCTTTTTAGTACCACAACCACAGTCGGTTCAGTTAAGAAGACAACACATATAGACATTACACAAAATGATCATGAATGGCGATATAACGTAGAGAGGCTTGCATAAAATAGCACAGGATAGCAGAGATTCACATATATAAACAGAGAAAGAACTCTTGAAGCTATAGATCTATTGTATATATAAAATTAACAAAGATACAATGTATTCATCGGCACTCACAGAAAGAAGTAGAAAGATAAGGACACACTAGACAATATAAAACTCCAAAGCTGTAGTTATCGTGCCAGGAATCAAACCTGTCACCTCCAAATGATGTGTGTGCCTCACTCTGCAAACATACAAACAAGCCTACTAAGAACACAACACAACCAGTTAGGCAACCCCCCGCCCACCAGTGGTGTCTTTGTTGGCATGTCTATCATACAGCTTGAAATTCACAACTATGGAATAGAGACAGAATTCATCATAAACTATTTAGATGGCACCATAGGTTACGTAAATTTATATTAACGAAGCATAGGTAGAATAACAAACACAGCAAAAATTTACAAGCACAGCAGACTGTAATGCTCTTTTCTAGAATACACGAACACTTAAGAAACAGATTTGATTGGTAGTTCCAGAGTTACACGTCGTTCACATAAATAAACAGAGGGGGAACCACTAAAGTCGAAAAAAATATGTTATATTTATAATTAACAAAGAGACCATGTTTAGATTAGCACTTACAATTACTCTGATTACATCCATTTTAGCTCCAGTCGCTTGCAGACCTCTCACCCGTGTACTGATAGTAAACTCGGCAGGTGAAAACATGGACAACATAAATAATACGATGCGTTGTCAATTATTTATTGTTCATTCACTCGCTGCTTCTTTGGCTAGTACATGGTGAGGCATAAAGATTGATTATTCAATCTATCGAATGTTGCTTTACCTTATCAGAAATACACACATGAGAACTCACACAACGGCAGCTTAAAATGACAACTTTCTCGAAAGAGTAAACACAACCATTCACTGCACAAGGCAGGTCAAACTCTGGCCAGGTTGGGTATCGGAATCTCACACTCAAATAGATGCACGCCGTCAATAAAAACTTAATTAAAAACATATTCTTCACTTCACAAGCACACAGTTCCTTGACCCAGACGAGACTGCCCCTAGATCTTTCTAGGATATTAAATAATCTTCTCTCACCCACATTCTGGATTGCCCAAAGCTCGTGATCTTTGAGCTTTTCACTTTACCCGGGTTAAACGCTTGATTCTTTTTGGCCAACATTGTGTCCTCCCCTTGTAAATTAAAATATCTCATTCATATTCATGATCTTAAGTCATTACTATTGTAACATAATTAATCGGTGAGAAAATGACTCACTATAGCAGTCATGTCGTGGGTTCGCTCCCTGGTAGAGACGGACTTTTCTTCAAAAATGACCTTGGCTCCCAGGTCGACCCAGCCTTGAGTGGGTACCGGGTGCAATCCCGGGAAGTAGAGGCGGCCGGCGTGATGCTGACCACATCACCCATCTTGTGCCGTTGGTCTATAAAAATATAGGTCTAGCCCTATATGCCCTATACGCCTAAAGGCATGGAAAGGGTCCTTTACTTTACTTACTTTTACTATAGCAGTCATAGAAAGATAGAAGGACACACACTAGTTAACATACAAATCGAAAGCTGTAGTTACCGTCCCGGGAAGAGTCGGGTGAGTTGGTTGAGGTTGTTTGCTGTTATGAGGGAAAACAAGCAGAAGAGGCAGACATGTGTATGTTTTGAACGTTTATGTTTGTATCCATGATGTACTTACTGTTTAGTAACACGAGTAACACTCTACCCAGGTTGTGTACTTCACGCTCTTTTCCCGTACGTCATTCTGATTGTCCTGTTGGTGAGAGGTGTCACTTTGGAAGGTCACCTGGAGGGAATCAAGTTTTATGTAATCCCACAGTGGGAGAAGCTGCTTGATGCCAAGGTATGCACTTGCGTAACTGTGTTACATTTCTCCAGCGAATTTCATCCAAACACACAAGCATACACACACACAATATACACATGCAACATAGACACACCAAACACCTGACAAACATACAAACATACACACCACACGCTCCATGTATACCACACATCACACTCACATATATATGTATACACACTTAGGCACACATATATACAAACACATACACACCAACACATATATGTACACACATAAATATATGTATACACAAACACACATAAATATATGTATACACAAACACACATAAATATATGTGTACACAAATGCATATAAATATATGTATACACAAACACACAAAAATATATGTATACACAAACACACATAAATATATGTATACACAAACACATATAAATATATGTATACACAAACACACATAAATATATGTATACACAAACACACATAAATATATGTATACACAAACACACATAAATATATGTATACACAAACACACATAAATATATGTGTACACAAATGCATATAAATATATGTATACACAAACACACAAAAATATATGTATACACAAACACACATAAATATATGTATACACAAACACATATAAATATATGTATACACAAACACACATAAATATATGTAAACACAAACACACATAAATATATGTATACACAAACTCACATAAATATATGTAAACACAAACACACATAAATATATGTATACACAAACTCACATAAATATATGTAAACACAAACACACATAAATATATGTATACACAAACACACATAAATATATGTATACACAAACACACATAAATATATGTATACACATACTCACATAAATATATGTATACTAGGGCTGTACCGAATATTCGCTTCGTATTCGCTTCGGGGCCGAATAGTGGACCGAATAACTATTCGGTATTCGGCCGAATAGTTGCGGTCGGGCCGAATACGAATAGTGGTTACCTAACACTCATTTCTGCATACACTGCGATGGACTGAAATATCTCTCTCATTAACACAATGGTTGCTGTTGCCTAAGTTTATAGTAGCGGGGAAAACTGCGATCCGGTTTCGTGGTACAGCAGCTGGCAAGGTTTTGCCTGCTGACTCGACCGAGGCATTACAGCAAATGTTCCCAAACTGGGTGCATATGCCAGGGGTGCTGGGGCGAAAATCAAGAAATGTAGGCTATAAATTGTGACATTATTAAAGAAGTCATTAAGATACTTGAGATACTTTCCTCGCCACTGTCGAAAAGAACACAGGCGACAGGCAATACCTCCATTTTATAAAATGCAGAACATCTTATGCAATATATCTTTGCCATTGAAGGTTAGAAAAATAATTCTTGCCTGCTACTATTTTTCTCCTATTTTTCAATTTTTAACATATGGTTGTAAGTCCTGGACAATCGGTAGGCAGGCCAAACAATTTCTCTAGGCTTCATGTAGTTTTACAGAATAATGCTTAAAATACCTTGAACAGCAAAAAAAAGCAACCAAGAGGTTTCGAAAGAGGCGGGAGACCGAAGACAACTAATCACAGTCATCAGAAGGAGACAGTCATAATTTTTCCACATCAGTCGGCAAGGCACCTGGTGATGATGATACACTATTCGTATTCGGCCGAATAGCTGGTCCCACTATTCGTATTCGGCCGAATAGTGAAAATCACTATTCGGTACAGCCCTAATGTATACACAAACACACATAAATACACACCTTTTGGTGCATGTTTTCTCTGGAAAGATAATGTCCAGAAACAAATGTCTGTTGTCAGAGAGATGTTGGCGCTAGTGGGGGCAGACTAGTACCAATGGTGGATGTGGTAGTTACAACAACATCAGTGAGAGTAGCAGTTGTAGTTGCTGTGGTGGTATTGGTAGTAGTGTTAATAATAGTTGTGGGACTAATAGTAGTAGTATGTAGCAGTAGTTGTTGTGGCACGTAGTACAAAGTAGCACTAGTGGTAGCAACAGCAGTAGTAGCAGCTGTATTAGTAGTTGTAGTAAGTTGTAGTAAGCACTAAATAGTTGTAATGGTAGTGATAGTAGTTTTAGTAGAATTAGTACTAGTTGTAATAGTAGTGATAGTAGTTTTAGTAGAATTAGTACTAGTTGTAATGGTAGTGATAGTAGTTTTAGTAGAATTAGTACTAGTTGTAATGGTAGTGATAGTAGTTTTAGTAGAATTAGTACTAGTTGTAATGGTAGTGATAGTAGTTTTAGTAGAATTAGTACTAGTTGTAATGGTAGTGATAGTAGTTTTAGTAGAATTAGTACTAGTTGTAATGGTAGTGATAGTAGTTTTAGTAGAATTAGTACTAGTTGTAATGGTAGTGATAGTAGTTTTAGTAGAATTAGTACTAGTTGTAATGGTAGTGATAGTAGTTTTAGTAGAATTAGTACTAGTTGTAATGGTAGTGATAGTAGTTTTAGTAGAATTAGTACTAGTTGTAATGGTAGTGATAGTAGTTTTAGTAGAATTAGTACTAGTTGTAATGGTAGTGATAGTAGTTTTAGTAGAATTAGTACTAGTTGTAATGGTAGTGATAGTAGTTTTAGTAGAATTAGTACTAGTTGTAATGGTAGTGATAGTAGTTTTAGTAGAATTAGTACTAGTTGTAATGGTAGTGATAGTAGTTTTAGTAGAATTAGTACTAGTTGTAATGGTAGTGATAGTAGTTTTAGTAGAATTAGTACTAGTTGTAATGGTAGTGATAGTAGTTTTAGTAGAATTAGTACTAGTTGTAATGGTGATAGTAGTAGTTTTAGTAGAATTAGTACTAGTTGTAATGGTAGTGATAGTAGTTTTAGTAGAATTAGTACTAGTTGTAATGGTAGTGATAGTAGTTTTAGTAGAATTAGTACTAGTTGTAATGGTAGTAATAGTAGTTTTAGTAGAATTAGTACTATTTGTAATGGTAGTAATAGTAGTTTTTGTAGAATTAGTACTAGTTGTAATGAGGGCTTATTTTATGGCAGCTACTGGCACTTTGTTTAAACACTGTGTGATGAGTACCATCACCTTGTTTAAACACTGTGTGATGAGTACCATCACCTTGTTTAAACACTGTGTGATGAGTACCAGCACCTTGTTTAGACACTGTGTGATGAGTACCATCACCTTGTTTAAACACTGTGTGATGAGTACCAGCACCTTGTTTAGACACTGTGTGATGAGTACCGGCACCTTGTTTAGACACTGAGTGATGAGTACCAGCACCTTGTTTAGACACTGTGTGATGAGTACCAGCACCTTGTTTAGACACTGAGTGATAAGTACCGGCACCTTGTTTAGACACTGAGTGAGTACCGGCACCTAGTTTAGACACTGTGTGATGAGTACCGGCACCTTGCTTAGACACTGTGTGATGAGTACCAGCACCTTGTTTAGACACTGTGTGATGAATACCAGCACCTTGTTTAGACACTGTGTGATGAGTACAGGCACCTTGTTTAGACACTGTGTGATGAGTACCGGCACCTTGTTTAGACACTGAGTGATGAGTACAGGCACCTTGTTTAGACATTGTGTGATGAGTATCGGCACCTGGTTTAGACACTGAGTGAGAAGTACCGGCACCTTGTTTAGACACTGAGTGATGAGTACCGGCACCTTGTTTAGACACTGAGTGATGAGTACCGGCACCTTGTTTAGACACTGTGTGATGAGTACCGGCACCTTGTTTAGACATTGTGTGATGAGTACCGGCACCTTGTTTAGACATTGTGTGATGAGTACCGGCACCTTGTTTAGACACTGAGTGATGACTACCGGCACCTTGTTTAGACACTGAGTGATGACTACCGGCACCTTGTTTAGACATTGTGTGATGAGTACCAGCACATATTTGTTCTGCTGGGACGGAGGCTGGTATCAGTAGTATTGATGGTGGTAACCGTATTGACAATTGAAACTGACAGTGTTTTGTGATAGTGGTAACTATATTGACAATAAAGACAGTTGTTTCATGCCTTCTTTATGATTAGTACGAAACTGCTAGTTTTATATCTTGTGACTTTCTTGGCAGATCTGGGGCGATGCTGCCTCTCAGATCTTCTACTCCCTTGGCATTGGTTTCGGTGGACTACTCACCATGGCCTCGTACAACAAGTTTAACAACAACTGTTACAGGGACGCTATCTTGGTTTCTTTCATTAACTGCGGGACATCCATCTTCGCCGGCTTCGCCATTTTCTCTCTCCTAGGTCACATGGCTTATGTGACCAATAAGAAAGTTGAGGATGTGGCGGCTTCAGGTATAAAAATCATTAAACAATATTTTAATAGAATTACACCTGTATTCCTTTCGTCCTTCTGAGGACGTAATTTTTTGTTATTTTGAAGCCCCCACCCTGGCTTTTGCCAGGGGCCGCAATATAGGCAGGCCATAAATATGGCCAATTGTCTGAACGCGGTTTCTGGGACCTCTCCACGGCGATCCTCATCCACATGGTGGCACCTTGTGTCATCGGGTGTTTATCGCTTGTGTGATGTCCTAGTGGGTAAAAATCCACTACAATATCTTCACACATGCTTTGGGGTACAATATCTGTGCACATTATCACAAGAGAATAAAAATAATAGGAAAACTGAGGTAATGGGATTAGGTGGGGAAAAACACAGCAAACCTAAATGCCAATGGTGCTACAGTCAAACAAGTACAGAAATTCAAATATCTTCTTCTTAAAGTGCATGTGTTGGTAGTCACGCCTGTCCACAAACTTCTGTCTCATGTATCTATTTACAAACTTCTATCTCATGTATCTATTTACAAACTTCTGTCTCATGTACCTATTCACAAACTTCTATCTCATGTATCTATTTACAAACTTCTATCTCATGTATCTATTTACAAACTTCTGTCTCATGTATCTATTTACAAACTTCTGTCTCATGTATCTATTTACAAACTTCTGTCTCATGTACCTATTCACAAACTTCTATCTCATGTATCTATTTACAAACTTCTGTCTCATGTATCTATTTACAAACTTCTGTCTCATGTATCTATTTACAAACTTCTGTCTCATGTACCTATTCACAAACTTCTATCTCATGTATCTATTTACAAACTTCTATCTCATGTATCTATTTACAAACTTCTATCTCATGTATCTATTTACAAACTTTTGTCTCATGTATCTATTTACAAACTTCTATCTCATGTATCTATTTATAAACTTCTATCCCATGTATCTATTTACAAACTTCTATCTCATGTACCTATCCACAAACTTCTATCTCGTGTACTAATCTCAATCAACACTGACACAAATGATCCTCCATGCCATGATGTCAAACAGTCCAGCATCTTCTGTCTCGGTCTCCATCTGCCTCTCCTCCACTCCAACGTTTCTACCATCTGGATGTACTCCAGCTTTCTCCTTCTAATGACATGACAAAAGAATGTAGATTTCTCTTTCAGATCTGGACAATCAGTTCTCTACATGAGTTGGTTTCTTTTAGGACGTCTTTATTATTGTGCAGGGTATTCTTATCATTTGTCATTACAAACACATCTCTGTAGCTTCCAAATAATTGTTCACTAATCTGCCAGCTGTCCATGATTGATTTCCTTACATGAAGACAGGATTTGTAAAGCTTTTCAGAATTCTCTTTCTCGTCTTAATTGACAAAGAAAGATTGCATCAAATATTCTTCATTTGGTAAAATGCTGCCTTTGCTTGAGCTGTTCGACATTCATCCTCCTTAATACATCTCCCATCTGATGTCATCAGTGTACCCAATACTTGAATATATATACTTGCTTGAGCTATTCTACATGCATCCTCCTTAATACATCTCCCATCTGATGTCATCAGTGTACCCAATACTGGAATATATATACTTGCTTGAGCTGTTCGACATTCATCCTCCTTAATACATCTCCCATCTGATGTCATCAGTGTACCCAATACTGGAATATATATACTTGCTTGAGCTGTTCGACATTCATCCTCCTTAATACATCTCCCATCTGATGTCATCAGTGTACCCAATACTGGAATATATATACTTGCTTGAGCTGTTCGACATTCATCCTCCTTAATACATCTCCCATCTGATGTCATCAGTGTGTACCCAATACTGGAATATATATACTTGCTTGAGCTGTTCGACATTCATCCTCCTTAATACATCTCCCATCTGATGTCATCAGTGTACCCAATACTGGAATATATATACTTGCTTGAGCTGTGCGACATTCATCCTCCTTAATACATCTCCCATCTGATGTCATCAGTGTACCCAATACTGGAATATATATACTTGCTTGAGCTGTTCGACATTCATCCTCCTTAATACATCTCCCATCTGATGTCATCAGTGTACCCAATACTGGAATATATATACTTGCTTGAGCTGTTCGACATTCATCCTCCTTAATACATCTCCCATCTGATGTCATCAGTGTACCCAATACTGGAATATATATACTTGCTTCAGGTTTGTCCCATTTACTTTTATGTTACATTTTGGAGGGTCAGTTTTCTTTATAATTACCGTTACTTATGTTTGTCTGCTGTTCAAAAACCTTTGTTTTGACTTTCCGTTACAATTATATCCACTATTTTTTTGCATATATATTTTAATTTCAACGATCAAAACTATATCATCAGCATATTGCAGGTTGTTAACAATATGCTAACCAACCGCTATTCCTGACATACCATGGGTGAATCTAATTATTATTTCACCGTACAAACTGAATAAATGGGTAACAGTACCTATCTAAAGCCCTTTTCCAACTTGCTGGTCAATCCTTATGGCTGCTTTTGTTGCCAGTAAGTTGTTTTTTTTTTTTTTCTTTTTTTTTAAACTATTCTCAGATCTTTACCATAAATGTTTAAGGCTTCTACAATTCTAATAATTTTTTCATGTTTTACTTTATCAAAACTATGTAAACAAAAACCCAAAAAAACCACAAATGCACATCTCTGTTCATTATATTCATTCTTTTTGAAAGTGTTCTCAAAATAAATATTGTTGTTTTTTGCTTTTACCTTCAACAAATCCACACTGCTCTTCTCCAATTTCTGATTTAATTTTGCACCTTATTCTTCTCATAATAATTCTCATAAATATTTTAGTTACAGGACTCATTCAACTCATTGCCTGATGTTCTCCACTATCAACTGCACCATATTTTTTTTTTCAACGTTATGAAAATAGATTCAAAATGTCGCTAGGTATATATATATAAATATATATATATATATATTATGCCTTTATTGCCTATATATATATATATACATATATCCAGTGTTATAAATATCATTAAACAATTTTGTCCACACTTCTAAACCCAGTTCACCAGAAATGTTTCATTCTTCAATCATGATCTTATCTAGCCTGGAGATTTGCATTTCTGTGTGTGGTGTATAGCATCTTCTACTTCTGCTTTCAGTGTGAAATATCTGGGAAGTATAAACTTGCGGGAGATGGCGACTCGATGAAGAAAGAAGCCAGATACCAAAAAGCAAAGTATTTCCCCTATCAGCTAGCCCACTGCTTAGACACCCAAGTGAATGACATTGAGACAGAAATGAGGGGATGTGTGACCTGAACAAAGATTCTACAAAGGACATAAGGAAATGCTTCCTGTTTATGCTGACAAATGTTTATCCCATAAAGCGGTGCAGGCTGGGTAAAAAAATATTTTCTCGGTGACGCTCTAAAATTGTTGATGAAGTCCGATCTGGTCGTCCTGTTAAAATTGCAAAAAACTCATCCGTGCAGAGGGTAGAGGAGATGATTAGAGGTGACAAGCAAGTAATGGTTGACCCTGTATCAGCTGCAATAAGGTGCCCACGTGGCGCAGCATAAAACATAATGCAGAAGTTGAATGCGAAGTGAAAATGTGGTTTAGAAAACAAAGCGCGCAGTTTTATACAGCAGGTTTGACTTCTCAAATAACGAGAGAGAGAGAGAGAGAGAGAGAGAGAGAGAGAGAGAGAGAGAGAGAGAGAGAGAGAGAGAGAGAGAGAGAGAGAGATGTGGGCAAGAGACTAACGGCTGGATTCTCTATTCAAGGACCCGGTCTGGCCTTTATTGCCTACCCTGACGGTATTTCCCGACTTCCCGCCTCGCCTGTGTGGGCCTTTTTATTTTTCTTCATGATCCTCACTCTAGGACTGGACAGTCAGGTAGTGCTTGATTGTCACCTGTCATGTTGTCACCTGTCATGTTGTCACCTGTCATGTTGTCACCTGTCGTGTTGTCACCTGTCGTGTTGTCACCTGTCATGTTGTCACCTGTCATGTTGTCACCTGTCATGTTGTCACCTGTCATGTTGTCACCTGTCATGTTGTCACCTGTCGTGTTGCATTTATTGTAGTGTGCAATATTATATATATTATATTATATTATATTATGCTTTATTATATTATATTATATTATATTATATTATATTATATTATATTATATTATATTATATTATATTATATTATATTATATTATACTATACTATACTATACTATATTATATTATATTATATTATATTATATTATATTATATTATATTATATTATATTATATTATATTATATTATATTATATTATATTATATTATATTATATTGAAGACACCAATTACAGGAGGGATTCAAGAGGGGGAAGAAATCAGAGAAATATCCAGCAGCCTATTTTAACAGTTATTAGCACACGGAAGATAGTGCTGTGTCAACAGTTATTAGGACACGGAAGATGGTGCTGTATCAACAGTTATTAGGACACAGAAGATGGTGCTGTATCAACAGTTATTAGGACATGGAAGATGGTGCTGTATCAACAGTTATTAGGACACGGAAGATGGTGCTGTATCAACAGTTATTAGGACACGGAAGATGGTGCTGTATGTATCAACAGTTATTAGGACACGGAAGATAGTGCTGTATCAACAGTTATTAGGACACGGAAGATAGTGCGGTATCAACAGTTATTAGGACACGGAAGATGGTGCTGTATCAACAGTTATTAGCACACGGAAGATGGTGCTGTATCAACAGTTATTAGGACACGGAAGATGGTGCTGTATCAACAGTTATTAGGACACGGAAGATGGTGCTGTATGTATCAACAGTTATTACACACGGAAGATGGTGCTGTATCAACAGTTATTAGGACACGGAAGATGGTGCTGTATCAACAGTTATTAGGACACGGAAGATGGTGCTGTATCAACAGTTATTAGGACACAGAAGATGCTGCTGTATCAACAGTTATTAGGACACGGAAGATTATGCTGTATCAACAGTTATTAGGACACGGAAGATGCTGCTGTATCAACAGTTATTAGGACACGGAAGATGCTGCTGTATCAACAGTTATTAGGACACGGAAGACGGTGCTGTATCAACAGTTATTAGGACACGGAAGATGGTGCTGTATCAACAGTTATTAGGACACGGAAGATGGTGCTGTATCAACAGTTATTAGGACACGGAAGATGGTGCTGTATCAACAGTTATTAGGACACGGAAGATGCTGCTGTATCAACAGTTATTAGGACACGGAAGATGGTGCTGTATCAACAGTTATTAGGACACGGAAGATGGTGCTGTATCAACAGTTATTAGGACACGGAAGATGGTGCTGTATCAACAGTTATTAGGACACGGAAGATGCTGCTGTATCAACAGTTATTAGGACACGGAAGATGGTGCTGTATCAACAGTTATTAGGACACGGAAGATGGTGCTGTATCAACAGTTATTAGGACACGGAAGATGGTGCTGTATCAACAGTTATTAGGACACGGAAGATGCTGCTGTATCAACAGTTATTAGGACACGGAAGATGGTGCTGTATCAACAGTTATTAGGACACGGAAGATGGTGCTGTATCAACAGTTATTAGGACACGGAAGATGGTGCTGTATCAACAGTTATTAGGACACGGAAGATGCTGCTGTATCAACAGTTATTAGGACACGGAAGATGCTGCTGTATCAACAGTTATTAGGACACGGAAGATGGTGCTGTATCAACAGTTATTAGGACACGGAAGATGGTGCTGTATCAACAGTTATTAGGACACGGAAGATGGTGCTGTATCAACAGTTATTAGGACACGGAAGATGGAGCTGTATCAACAGTTATTAGGACACGGAAGATGGTGCTGTATCAACAGTTATTAGGACACGGAAGATGCTGCTGCACGGGACAGTTCCTGGGGAGAAACGAGCAGAGAATCACCAGACAGGCAGTTGTTGTTTTCAGCGCACTTGGAATAATTCAGCCCCGGAACTTAATGAT